ACCACATATTCGTCTTCTTACCCCGTCCCTGCGAACGCAACTTCCACGTCGGATTCCGGATCGTCGGACAGCGTCACTTTATTCGCGTTAGCAGTCGCCGCGGTATTAGCGTCTGTGTGCGTGCTGGCGTTTGTCGGCGCCGCGTTCTATTTTGCTCCTGAGTCCGCTATCCGAACCGCGTCTGCCGCAGCCGCCGCCGCGAGTGCCGCCGCTTCTCTCGCCGCGGAAATCGCCGCGTCAACCGCGAGGCACGAGCGCGGGCGCGGAGATTCCCGCTCCGATTCCTCCCCCTCCGCCCCCCTGCGCTCCTCCCGCGCGCCGTCATCCTCGTCTTCAGCCTCCTCGTTATCGTCGTTAGCCGCTTCCTCGTCCTCGTCTTCCTCTGGTTCCCCGTCCTCCAGCTCCCGTTCCCCTGGCGGAAATATTGGCGCGTCGGAAAGAAGGGGTAGCAGGCGGCGAGGGGAAGAGGGGAGGGGACGGGGCAGCGGAGGTTCGAGAGAAGCGGAACGAGGAGGAAATAGGGGGGAGGGCGGGAGAGAGAGGCAGAGACAAGGGCATAGGCAGGGGCAAGTAGGGAGGCGAGTGGGGAGTCATGGCGAGGTGGGGGAAGGCGGGAAAGGGGAAAGAAGAGGGACACGAGAGGTGGTGGGAAGAGGGGGAAGGGAGGAGGGGAGGTGTTGCGGGTGTGGGAAGAAGGAGCGGGCGGGTGGCCGGAAAGAGACAACGGGGACAAGAGGTGCTGATGGTGCTCTACCGGATGTGCTTGTACCGATTGTGACTCAAGGGAGGAACGGGCAGAGGGAAAACGAGGAGAGCCAGCCTGAAGCGGTCAGGGTTGGAGAGGGAGAGGCGAGAAGTGCAGCTGGAAGGAACGTCCAGGTTGGGGGTGTGATTGGGCAGGGAGAGAGAGAGGCAGGGAGAGGGATGGATAGGGAGGATGGGGCTGGGGAAGGGGGAGAGAGCAGAGATCAGGATTCACTTGTGTAGTGGGGTGGGTTGTTCGTTATAGGTATTCACTTGACTGGGTCTGCTTGGAAAATGGCCACCTCAGCTGACCCAGAAACCGTTTTTCTCTCATGATACAGGAGGGCTGGTAATAAGAATGACCTGTTTGGAAAGGCTGTGGGGCAGAGCTGTAGTGTGGACTGAGGGTTCTGGCTGGAGTGGTGTTTGGAAGGGAGAGGAGAGGACCTTTTTCGGGCACAGGCGTGGGACTGGCAAGCTTGCCTGAATTGGTATGGGGGAGGGAGGGTAATATCTGCGCCTTTTTTGGGCGGATAAGTGGGTTTGGAAAGTGTGCCTTTCTCGGGGAGTACGGAAGTAGTGTGCCTTCCTCAGGCACATGTTACGAAACAAATGATTGCTGCACATATTTATTGAGCGATTGTGGTTTGGCTAGAATGTTTTTCTCGACATCCAGCTGCGGGCTGCCTGCCTGCCTGCTAAATTGCTTCAGTGTATGCTGCTTTGATTGTGGGGGGGGCGGGGTGAACGGACACGTCACACGGGGCAGGCTGGTTCTGACTTCATTGCTGTAAAATGCAAATTTACATGCAATATGCTTGATTGGATCTCCAAGATATTTTGACAGTTTGACATGCAATATCTAAATAATCCTATTCTTTGGTCTGGATCTCCCAGAGCTAAGTGCTCTATTAATTGTTGATTCCAAACTAGTTAGATAGGTATTCTGTTCCTACCGTAATCTAAGCCAGAGCAAACATTAGAGAGTTACTCCGGAGGAAAAGAGAGTACTAGTAGCGAGTATATCTCTTGCATTCTTCATATATTTGGCGGGAATCTGTCCGCGAGTGTATGCCCTGCAGATCCTTATTCCATAAGCTATTTTGCGCCACACGAGAGGTTGCTGAGCATTCAGCTCGACACCACACATGCAATGCCAAGCAGCCATGGCCGTACTACTGCGTGTCCACCAAACTTGCGGCTGTCGTAATGATCCTCATAATGCTCGTCGCGGTGAAAGTCGTTTCGGTCGCAAAGGAGCGGTTCGCAAAGACGCTGGTCACCTACACCTAACTTTTCCCGCGATTCGAACTCGTCACCGCGTCCCCCGAGCACTCCTCCTCATTCTGTCGTTTCTCTTCGTTCTGCTGCTCGCGACCCCATCCTATGCGCTAGACACCACCGCCGGTCAATCCGCCGGCGATCACGCCGGACATTGCGCGGATAACAATGCCGCTGGCTCACAGACTTGCGCTGCTAGTGCCGACGCGTCGCCCGAAGGATCTGAGGCCTATTCGGATTTAAAGACGTCTGAAATTGGAGCCGAATCTTATCCAGTTGAATCCGCGGACGACGGAGGATCTAGAAAGCTTGGGAGCGTCGAGCATGACGTGGCAGGATCGGAGCGCGCCATGGTGGAAGACATGCTGACGTGGATGGGACTGGATTGGACGAGAGATTCGGAAGGATCTGAATATGGCATTGTCGTTGACGGTACTATCGAGGTTAGTGCGGCGAATCTACAGCTCTTTTGGTGCAGTTAAGTCCCGAGTCCCGGAATACTGCGTGTTTTCGTCAACGCCTCGCGTTTCGCCACCTGCCACGTGGTGTTTCACAAGTGTGTCACCTTCCCGTGCGTCCGCGTGTCGCCAGGTGGACTTCTCCACTCGCAGCGTGCATGAAGCCGTGCCTGAAGCTCGAGGCGCTTCAGACAATCCCGAGGGTGGTGCAAGCGTGTGGAAACCGAACGACACGCGGTAGGGACTCAAGCAGGGTTACCACACGGTGTGCCGTAGGGACTCAAAGCATGTGAAGTTTCTCCGATTAAGACATAACTGCTTAGACTTCAGCCTCTTACCTGTTTCCGTAGCCAGGCCCTTCGATTCTTGAACCAGCCGTGCCCTGCTTTCTTTCCACTTCGCATCCCCTCCTCCCCATTTATCGTCCCCTAACGGCACTGGCAGGGCGGACATTGGCTTTAAGGCAGCGCGCAGAATAGAGGCGGGCGAGGTGATCCTGATAGTTCCACGAAGGTTCTTCATAGTGGCCAACTGGATTGCCCTGGTGAGTGTGGTGTGACTGTGTGTGATTGTGACTGGGTATGGGAGAGTACATGGGTGTGATGAGTCGGTTTTTGAGTCGACTCAAAAACCGACTCATCAGTGTGGTGTGGCTATGTGTGATTGTGACTGAGTGTGGGAGAGTACATGGGTGTGTGTCACTTTGTATAGCTGGAACCGTGTGGGTGTGACTGCATGGGTGTGACTGCATGGGTGTGACTGCATGGGTGTTACTGTATGGGTGTGACTTTGTGGGCGTGTGTGAGAGAGAGGCCAACCACGCAACCAGTAGGCCTTGCCTCCGTACCTTTCTCTCTCCAATTGTCCCTTTCACCCCCCTCCACCCCTCTCCACCACTCACATCCATCTCCCAACCCCCTTAACAGAAAGATTCAGAGCGCCATCTCCTCCCATATGACATGCAGCTACCAGTGCCGTACGGGTGGGACACATACACCGTGCTGGCAGCCTGGCTGCTGCGAGAGAGGGAGGCAGAACACCCAACCATTCATCCCTAGCACACCTCCTTCCTTCCTCCCGTTACTGTGTGCAGAACGAGTCCGAGCGCCATCTGCTCCCCTATGACATGATACTACCGGTGCCGTATGGGTGGGACACATACACCGTGCTGGCAGCCTGGCTGCTGCGAGAGAGGGAGGCAGAACACCCAACCATTCATCCCTAGCACGCCTCCTTCCTTCCTCCCGTTACTGTGTGCAGAACGAGTCAGAGCGCCATCTGCTCCCATATGACATGACACTACCGGTGCCATATGGGTGGGACACATACACCGTGCTGGCAGCCTGGCTGCTGCGAGAGAGGGAGGCAGAACACCCAACCATTCATCCCTAGCACACCTCCTTCCTTCCTCCCGTTACTGTGTGCAGAACGAGTCCGAGCGCCATCTGCTCCCCTATGACATGATACTACCGGTGCCGTATGGGTGGGACACATACACCGTGCTGGCAGCCTGGCTGCTGCGAGAGAGGGAGGCAGAACACCCAACCATTCATCCCTAGCACGCCTCCTTCCTTCCTCCCGTTACTGTGTGTAGAACGAGTCAGAGCGCCATCTGCTCCCATATGACATGACACTACCGGTGCCATATGGGTGGGACACATACACCGTGCTGGCAGCCTGGCTGCTGCGAGAGAGGGAGGCAGAACACCCAACCATTCATCCCTAGCACGCCTCCTTCCTTCCTCCCGTTACTGTGTGCAGAACGAGTCAGAGCGCCATCTGCTCCCATATGACATGACACTACCGGTGCCATATGGGTGGGACACATACACCGTGCTGGCAGCCTGGCTGCTGCGAGAGAGGGCCAAGGGCGCTGCGTCCCCCTGGGCGCTCTTCCTGCGCTCGCTGCCCGCCTACGTGCCCCTGCCTGCTCTCTTCCCCCAACAGCTCATCGACCAGTTTGAGTACTGGCCGATCGTTGACCAGGTGGGTGAGTTATGGAGTGAGTGTTAGGGGAAGTCTGGGAAATAGAGACATGGTTTGCTCTGCATACTCTTCTTCACTCGTAATCCCCTTTTCACACTCCCCTTTTCACACTCCCCTTTTCACACTCCCCTTTTCACACTCCCCTTTTCACACTCCCCTTTTCACACTCCCCTTTTCACACTCCCCTTTTCACAATCCCCTTTTCACACTCCCCTTTTCACACTCCCCTTTTCACACTCCCCTTTTCACACTCCCCTTTTCACACTCCCCTTTTCACACTCCCCTTTTCACACTCCCCTTTTCACACTCCCCTTTTACACTCCCCTTTTCACAATCCCCTTTTCATACTCCCCTTTTCACACTCTTTTCACACTCCCTTTTCACACTCCCCTTTTCACACTCCCCTTTTCACACTCCCCTTTTCACACTCCCCTTTTCACACTCCCCTTCACATACTCTTTTCACACACTCCGTGCTTGCCTGAGTGTCGTTGCTCGCTACCTCTCCTCTCCGTTTCGCATCTCCCATGTCTCCCCCCTTCCCCTCCTTCTCTCCCCTCCTCCGCCCACCCTTACCACAGGCCACGCGTCTCAAGGCAGCACACGCTGACCTATACCATTGCTGCAGCGGCAACCCCGCTGCCATCCCGTGCTGCCGTTGCCCATGCCTGTTCACTCACTTGATTCCCACCACTCCCCTCACCCCCCCCCCCCCCCCCCCCCCACACCACAGGCCACGCGTCTCAAGGCAGCATATGCGGACCTGTACGATCGCTGCAACAGCAACCCCACCACCATCGTCCATGCCTATTCCCTCCTTTTTTCCCTCTGCTCCCCATCTCCCCCCCGCACTCCACCACAGGCCACGCGGCTCAAGGCGGCATATGCCGATCTGTACGACAGATGCAACAGCAGCAATCTCGCTGCCATCGCCAACGCCACTCGCTCCGAGTTCTACTGGGCGCTCACTATAGTCACATCGCGCTGCTTCACCTTCTCGCCTTCAATGCGCGCCCGTGGGGGTGGGGAGGAGCAGCAGGCGGAGGGTGCGGAAGGGGCGGAAGGGGGCAGGGATGGGAGTGCAGATGGGGCAGAAGTAGCAGCAAATGTAGTGGAAGCAGTAGCAACAGAAGAGGCAGGAGGGGAGTCAGAGGAGGGGAGTACTAGCAGCAGCAGCAACAGTGGTGGCAGTGGCAGGAGAGCGGAGGATTGGTATGCCACGTCAGCAGCCATGCTCCCATTCGCTGATCTGTTCAACCATGATTACTACCCCAACATGGGGTGGAAGGTGAGGGGTGGGAGGTGAGGGGTGAAAGAAGTTGCCATATGTCCCGCTCACCCTCAAAACGCCTGGGTATGAGCCTGATCTGGCTAACTATGAATGATCACCACCCCAACATGGGGATGTGAGGGGTGGAAGGTGAGGGGTGGGAGGAGCTGCCTTATCTCTCTTCTCTGTTCTCTCCCCTCCCATCTCGCCCTCCTCCAGCTCTTTGGAAACTCCTTCCCCTTCACCATCCACCAGACCATCGGGCAAGGAGAGCTGCTGAGATGATCATATGTCCCATCCCCGCCCCACCCCCCCCTTGTCTAACTTCCCTACCCCCCCTCCACGCCCCCTTCCCTTCTTCCCGCCAGCTGTCAGGTGACCACTTTCTTCTTCACGACCTACCAGGCCATGCGAGCCCCTGAGGCATTGTCCCAGCCCTTCCTCGCCCTCTCCTCCTGCCCCCTCCCCCGCCCCATTACCCCCCTTTTCCCTCCGCTCCAGCTCTCAGGCGACCACTTCCTCTTCACGACCTACCAGGCCATTGAGGAAGGAGAGCCGCTGAGCATATCATACGGAGCCAAGCCCAGCATTGACATGGTGGCGGAGTATGGCTTCGTGCCTTCATACAACCCTTATGACACCGTCATCCTCTTCCCCAGGTGAGGTTGTTGCAGTGCATTTGACACCACACTCAGGTGAGAATCCAGTGTTCCCAAGCCCACCATTGACATGGTGGCGGAGTATGGCTTCGTGCCTGCATACAACCCCTTCGGTACCGTCGTCCTCTTCCCCAGGTAATGTGCGGCATTCCAACTAGTCACAGCAAGCCTTTTGAGGCGCCTCAAAAGTCATTCCATCTAGTCACAGCAATCCTTTTGAGGCGCCTCAAAAGTCATTCCATCTAGTCACAGCAAGCCTTTTGAGGCGCCTCAAAAGTCATTCCATCTAGTCACAGCAATCCTTTTGAGGCGCCTCAAAAGTCATTCCATCTAGTCACAGCAATCCTTTTGAGGCACCTCAAAAGTCATTCCATCTAGTCACAGCAAGCCCACCATTGACGTGCTGGCGGAGTATGGCTTTGTGCCCGCATACAACCCTTATGACTCCGTCGAGCTCTTCCCCAGGTGAGTGCTGCATTGCATTCCATTGCCCTGTAAACCACTCTTGATTGACCCAACGCTCAAGCCCAACGCTCAAGCCCAACGCTCAAGCCCAACGCCCAAGCCCAACGCCCAAGCCCAACGCCGGATTAAGGTTCACCCCGGGATGAAGGTTCACCCCCGGATGAAGGTTCACCCCCGGATGAAGGCTCACCCCCGGGCCCAAGCCCAACGCCCATGCCCACCATTGACATGTTGGCAGAGTATGGCTTCGTGCCTGCGTACAACCCTCATGTTACTGTCATACTACTCCCCAGGTAAGTTGCTGCAGTGCATGCTTGTGTTGCGCAGTATGGCTTCATTGCCACAAGTGCACATCATGCCCAGCATCCACATACTCTCGTTGCACATCATGCCCAGCATCCACATGCTGTCGTTGCACATCATGCCCAGCATCCACAGGCTGTCGTTGCACATCATGCCCAGCATCCACATGCTGTCGTTGCACATCATGCCCAGCATCCACATGCTGTCGTTGCACATCATGCCCAGCATCCACATGCTGTCGTTGCACATCATGCCCAGCATCCACAGACTGTCGTTGCACATCATGGCCAGCATCCACATGCTGTCGTTGCACATCATGCCCAGCATCCACATGCTGTCGTTACACATCATGCCCAGCATCCGCATGCTGTCGTTGCACATCATGCCCAGCATCCACATGCTGTCGTTGCACATCATGCCCAGCATCCACATGCTGTCGTTGCACATCTTGCCCAGCATCCACATGCTGTCGTTGCACATCATGCCCAGCATCCACATGCTGTCGTTGCATGGCTTCGTGCCTGATGATGTTGTGCTTTGCTTTGCACTCTCGGCCACTCTTATCAGAGTGTATCTAATTTCTCTGGTTTGTTTCGTTGGTCTAGTACAACACGAGATTGGTGGGAGTAAGGCTTTTGCAGCCCACCTGTCCTCTCTTGACAGCTTTGCACTCTCGGCCACTCTTATCTGAGTGTGTCTAATTTCTCTGTTTGCTCCCCACTCCTCCAACCCTTGTCCAAGCCTCTATTCCTCGTCCCTCCAACCCTCTGGTTCTTCCCTCCAGCTCTGCTCGTCTGGTGGAGTATGCAGTGCAACAGACGCACCCCACTCAACCGCACCCCACCCAGTCACACCCTGCTTATGCAACACTGAGGGGGGCACTGAGGGTTGCGGCGTCGGTGAGGGAGGTGGTGGAGAGGATGAGAGAGGAGAGGCGGACAGGGGTGCAGAAGGGACAGGGGCGGGCGGAGGAAGAGGGGGAGGGGCAGGAGGCGCAGGGGGAGAGGGGGCAAGGTGGGGACGGAAAAGGGGAGGAGGCGCAGAGGGAGGAGGGGCAGGGGGAGGAAGGGCAAAGGGTTGACACGAGTGGGGATGGCAGCACGGGTGGGGAGTGGTGGGAGGGGATGGAGAGCGAGGAGGATTTTGAGAGCGCAAAGAAGCAGCTGGTGGTGTGGGCGGGCGGGCATGCGAGCCCTGAGATGCTGGCCATGGCTGCTGCTGTGTGGCACTGGATAGACACAGGCCGAGGTGAGAGTAAGATTCGAGGGGTTGAGTGTGGTGGGACGAGGTATAACGGTGGCCATGGTAGCAGGCTGGGCAGGCGGGCATGCGAGCCGTGAGGTGCTGACCATGGGTGCTGCTGTGTGGCACTGGATAGACACAGGCCGAGGTGAGAGTTACATTGGAGGGGTTGAGTGTGGTGGGGCGAGGTGTAGTGGTGGCCACGGTAGCAGGCTGGGCGGGCGGGCATGTGAACCCTGAGATTCTGGCCATGGCTGCTGCTGTGTGGCACTGGATAGACACAGGCCGAGGTGAGAACAGGGAGGGGTGAGAGTACGGCGAGGTGAGAGAGTTTGGAAGGGTTGAGTGTGGTGGAGTGTGGCAAAAAGGTAGGGGAATGGGCGGGCGGGCATGCAAGTCCTGAGATGCTGGCCATGGCTGCTCCTGTGTGGCACTGGAAGAACACCGGGCGAGGTGAGATTGCTTGGAGGGTTTGAGTGTGGTGGAGTGTGGTAGAATGGTAGGAGAATGGGGGAAGGGGGTGTGCGAGTCCTGAGATGAGTCTTTTGTTTTCCCATCCCTCGCCCTTGCCCCCTCCTCTGCCCCCATCCACGCCTTGGCCCCCTCCTCCGCCGTCTCCTCTACCCCCTACCATGCTCACTCTTCTCCAGAGTTAGATTTGAAGCAGCTCGCCAGGGCAGCCATGCACCTGAGTGTCCCCATCTTGCGCACAGAAAATCACTGCCCTGAGTTGAATGCGGAGCAGCTCGCCAGAGCAGCCATCCTGAGTGCTCCCATCTTGGACAACAGGAGACCTCAGCCCTCTCAGCTGCTCTCATCCCTGCTTCCTCTCCCCTGCTTCCTCTCCCCCCTCTTCCCATGTTCATTCTTTCTCAGAGCTGGATGCGGAGCAGCTCGCCACGGCAGCCACGCACCTGAGTGCGCCCATCTTGGATAAGGAACTCCTCTACCCTCTCAGAACCACGCTCCCCTGCTTCTTCTCCCTCTTACTCTCCCCACTCTTCTCTCTCCCTTGCTCGCTCTTTTCCAGAGTTGGATGCGGAACAGCTCGCCACGGCAGCCATGCATCTGAGTGCACCCATCTTGGACAATGGGAAACCCTTTACTGATGATGACTATGATGGTGGTGCTGGTGATGGTGATGATAATGATGGGGCTTCAGCTGTACCTGCTGGTGATGATATTGAGGATGCTCCAGCTGCTGCTGCTACTGATGCTGGTGATGGTGATGATAGTAAGGGGGCTTTAGCTGCGGATGCTGCTGCTGCTGGTACTGCTGCTGATGTTGATGTTAGTGATGATGTGCATAATGCGGGAGCAGCAGCAGAGGAAACAGAGCCAGATTCACACGGTACAGAGGATCAAGAAGCTGGATCCAGCACAGCAGACGAACCCCATGACATGGCAGCACAGGCTGCTGACACGTGGCAGCAGCTGGCCCAGTCCACGTCAGCAGACATCCTATCCTCCCTGTCAGCAGCAGCATGCGCAATCCAGCAGCGGGTGAGAGCCCTATTGGGCGTGGGGCTGACAGGCGAGGAGAAGAGGCAGGCAGCGAGAGAGGCTTCTGAAGCAGAGTCGAGGCTGTCAGGAGGATGGTCTTTCTCAACGGATTACTATGAGGATGAGGATAGGTTGAGGGAGCTGGTGGCGTGTCGAGGGGGCAGGTACAGGAGTGCGAGTGAGATCCTGGCAGGGGACAGCGGGGAAGCGAGTGGTGAGGAGGATCGGGGAAGCAGGGAGGGGGATGCGGACGAGGGCGAGCAAACAGATGGCTCGGCAGGCGGTTCGGCAGGTGGTTCGGCAAACAAGCCGGTGTGTTCACCTGGTGTGATGCGGTGGGTGCATGAGAGGGAGACAGTGCTGCAGTTCCGGATGGTGAAGAAGTCGATTCTGAGTGAGGCAGATGTCGCCATGGGTGAGTGGTGCCGCAGCATGGGGCGTGCTGCCAGTTAACGACAGGCTGCGGTATGATGAGGTTGGGGTGGGTTGAAATGGGTAGGATATTCTCATTCTCTAACGAGGAATGTGGTGGGTGCATTGGAGGAGAGCAGGGCTGCAGTTTTCGCGTAGATTTGTTGTGAGACATATCGATAAGCTTGATATGGTGCTGCTGTTCTGCACGCTGGAATGGGCGTGCTCTGTATGAGTTGATAGTTAGGTGGAACATTTATCCTCACACAAGCCATTACCTGACAGCTTGTTGCAAGGATGGTTGGAGGTGGTTTTAAACCACTTGGATGATTATGACGTATCTGGCGTTTCTATACAAATATCATGTAATGACAAATTATGGAATGCCATAAACATTACTTTTATAGAATAAAACTAGATATTTTTACATGGTAGCTTTGCTATTTTGTGAGATTTCGGTTGGGTTCTCTTGGGTTCCGGTCGGTTCTCTTGGGTTCCCTTGAGCTTCCCTTGGGTTTACTTGGGGTCTTTTTGGGAACAATCCCAAAAAGATGAGACCAGCGGCATATTGATGAGTCTCGGCAACAATCCCGAGGAGTGATCCACATACAGCAAGGGTGGTTCCGTCAAGATCCCGCAAAGCGAGCTGGCCACAGAGACGGCTGGCAGAAGTCACGACTCACAAGTGCAGCCGATATGTATCCGCGCGGGCTGCTAGCGGAAGCGACTAGCCGTCAACTGAGGAGGTGAAGTCAAGCCGTCGTTAATCGAGCATTCAGATACTCTACTGCGATGCGAAGAAGGACCCAGTCCTGCCTCACGCCCACAGTTCCGTTTCAAGGGCGAGTTGTGGTGGAGTGGAGAGTGTCCTTGGGTACAGTACTATAGCCGAGAATCTTGGTGACCACTGCCACACCCTTGTCGTTCTCCGCTCAAATCTAGGTCATATTTTTCCTTCACCCTTACGATTTCTTTCGATGTACAGTGGCGTGTGATGGTTGTCAGTCAGCGGTGCCCCTGGGAAGCCCGGAATCATAAGCACAGCTTCAGGAAGAGATCACCCAGCGAGGCTGATGGCCGCCGTGGATTGATCATGCGTAGAGCACAACGGACGGCTGAGATCAACGTACGATGAGCTCAAGGTTGGAGCGACGCCGGATGATGAGCTCTACGGCCCCGTCCTCACTTGAAGTTGCAATCACGGTAACCTCGAAAATCGCGTTTCCACCGAGATTAGCTTGCTCAGACCTAGCTCACTGCCAGCTATTCCGGGAATACCTCACCAAGATAAGCAGGCCACGTGTCTCCGATGAAACACTCGAAACACCGATATCATCTTCTACACACACGACATCTATGAGTCTGTGTGCACCATGGGGACACCATGGCTACGTCACAGAAATAGCATCCTCGGTTTCCACTCGTCCCTTCGCGCTGCGGTCCACTTACTCCTTATTGCAGCGGTCGCGGTCCTGTCGTTGCTTAGTTATTCCTGCAAATGTCGGGACAGTATCGGACACAGTGAGGTCGCAAACGTCACAGTATCAGAGGGGATTAAAGCTGGATTTTCCGCTGACAGAAGCGAGGAATCGCGGAAAGATTTAACCGACTCGGACTCGTATCACGGCGAGGTTCTGTGCTGGTGGTCTGGGGATCACGGCGGCTATGACGGAAAAGACTCTTCTTGGTCGAACCAGATCCATGGTTCCGATGATGCTACTGTAGTACTTTCCACAACTGAAGCCGCTCCCGTTCGTAGTGGTAGTTCAAGCGATGAAATCCGAGGCCGCGGCGGCGTGGTGATTTTTGGACCAGGATGTCGCCATTGCGTCGCCGGGCGACTGTGCACGTTCGAGATCGCCGTGCGACGGCCTGCGACGTGGACGGTGCCGCCAGGCATGGCGTTCAAGCACGAGCTGGCGGTGCAGCTGGTGGGACCGTCGCTCGTGCGAGCTGACGTCACGGCTGAGAGAGGCGACGTCAGCTGGTGGCGGGTGGCATACCGTGTATGGGACGCTGGCTTGTACGAGTAAGTCTTCTCCTCAGCATTCATTCAAATAAAGACCAACTAGATCGCGTATATAAGCCGATTACGCGGCAATTGGCGAGCCTTTTTCTAATTGGCAGAGGCTGATGGAACGAGATACTTTTACCTTGACCCTTCCCTTGCCTTCCGTTCACGACAGAGCGGTCGTTCGGTCCGGATGCGGCTCTTTGAACTATTCCGCTTCCTTCGCTCACGCACATGAGCACGACATGGCGCAATGGACCCTCGCCGTCCGTCCCAGTCGCAAGCTCAAGACCAGCACACTTCCAGCAGCCCGGGTTCAGCAGGAACCGTCCTTCTCACTTTCCGAGGCAGCAAAGGGGGACGCAGTGGCTGATGGAATGTTGGGTTCAGCCTGTGACCACGGCGCCTCTCACGGCCGCTGGCTGAGGGATGGCAGCACCGGAAATTACAGGTACGGACATGGCAGGTACGGACATGGCTCCGCTGTCGCACCTGATAGCCTTGAATCCTGATTCCCAATGCACACCCATGTTACGTTATCATTCTTCTGCTGCTCTTACCCGTTATGTAGTTGGCAAAAAAGGCACGTTGTAAGGGCGCGTGTCTTTTGCTGTAGAGGTTCGAAAAATTGGTTGAGCTTTTGATGGTAACCCTTTTCGTGAATCTCACTAAATGTTTCGTATATCCATCGTGTGTCCCTGTACAGCATTGTATATGAAGTAGGACACTAAACCTGGGTCGAGCTTTCAAAACAAACCATGCGTGAACGAAACGTCAGTCGTGTGTCCTCTTGACCATACACGAAGAATCTGCAACTTTGGCGAGAGTCGCAGCACGAGCGACTTTGGAAATTAGGGTCCGGGCCTCTTCAAACACACACCAGGTAACCGTTCGTGAGCTGGACGCGACTCGGGTACGCTGTAAAAGTTCAACTTCGATAGTCTGAACTTTTGTGTGTCCTGTGATTCTCGTGAGTGGAGGAGCAGCGACTCGGGTCACAGATGCCGAAATAGTCGGGCCTAGGTCGACCTAGGTTCAACTGTGTTAGTTCAACTCAAAAACTCGAGTTTTGCATACAATTTCCAAAAGACACGCGCCCTAATTATCTCAGTTCCCTCCTCCTTCCACCTCGCTCATTTCAGGTGGGAGTTCTTCCCGTGTGCGCCTCCTCTTCCTCCGCCATCCCACTGGGTCTCAGCCTTGGCATCACGTGGCATCAGGGAGATCAACTTCGTGGGCGACTCACACCAACGCTTACTGATGCTGCACCTTGCTTTCCTCTTGACGCACAGCGTCAATGACTCCCATGTGGGCTATCATGGGGATATCTCCATCTCTGTACCTGGCCCTGCTCCAGCTTATGATACAGCACCACGGGGAGATGATGTGGCGTTGGGCGTGCGAGGGGGTCTTAGGGGGGGAAATGGGGTGAATCAGCAGCAAGAGCAGGAGAAGAAGCAGCGGCAGTTTGAGGGACTGAAGCTGAATTTCTACTGGGTTGATGGCATTTACCGAAATGGGCAATTCGGATGCGAGTAAGTCAACAGCCGCCGCACACATTGAAACACCCCTCATTGGAAGACTCAATTTGGACCATGAGCTTGCAGCATATTGCTCTATTGCACTCATTTCATGCTCCAATTCCAATTCACTCCGACTACATCCTCCTTCCCATTCCCACTTCAGGCGAAGAGGCTATTTCTCTGGCAGGCAGGAATCCTTCCCCAACATCTCCCTTACGGCTGATGTCACAGTAATTGATGCTGGCACCTGGTCCGGCTGGCTCTGTGAGGAGCCTGAGAGAGCCTACAGTGTTCACCTGCCTGCTTTTCTTGAATGGGCAGTTGGACAGAAGCGTAAAGCAGAGGAGCAGCACCAGAGGGGGTATGCAAAGCTACTGACAACAACTCTTGATGTTGCCGATTTGGCAACAGATGGTAGTAGTGGGGGAGCAGAGGGTGGCAGTGGTTATGGTATGAACGGTACAAGAATGCTAAGACAACGCGCATGGAGGCCAAAGTTTCTGTTCCGGTCCATTCCTCCAGTTCGGCAAATCACCGAGGATTGCTTCACTCCGACACTACTGAAATCGTTTTCGGTAGTTCAACCTGCCACAAACTCGCTCATCGAGTACATGAATGGACTTTTGGAGGGGCAATTACAGCGCTACAATATCCAGCTGCTTGATGGATGGCCACTGGAAGCTCCTAGGCACAGTGACACATGTGGTCCAAAAAACGTACACTACACTTGTTTTGACGCTGGTGAAGCAGAGAGAGGGTTTGAGAAAGGGTTGCTTTATGGAGAAGTTGGTGAGGCTATGGCGAATCTTACAATGCACCATCTGTTGTATAATCTGCATAAGCAATGAGTCTGAGTGAACATAGTTTCTGTCCATGCTCGATAAATTTGTTTTGAGAGGATGCTGAATGTGTATTACCGTATTTCCTTTTGTTGGTTGATTTATGGCCTCGTCTAGATCAGTGGCTCCGGTTTGTGTCAGATAATCAATCGCTTGGCCAAATCAACGAGTAACAATCTGTTGTCCAGCTGTAAGGAATTTTCCCGAATTCCTTATCGGGGTTGACTGCTTCGCGTACAACCCGATTTTCGGGGTTGACTGCTTCGCGTACAACCCGATTTTCGGGGTTCGCACGTTCGGCCGATTTCAACGCAGCCGAGGCTCCTCACGTCGCCTTCGGCTTTCCCATCGCCAAACCTGCACCCAACCTCGCTCGTCCGAGGTTTCCTCCTAGCTAGAGTAGTCCTACATTAGTCTGTGCATTCATTGTATTCGCAGTTGATTCAGTCACAGCTTCGTTATTCCTTTACCTGCGCACTCTCTTTTACAACTCATAACACCTGGTATCAGAGCTACTTTCCTAGTTCACCCCGCTTTTCCGAGGGTAGTTTGGTGGCATAGGGTGTGGCTGGTTTAGTGACTACACGACGGTTGGCTGCAGGGATTGTTAATTCAATCCTGCCCGACTCCGATAGTTCGTGTTTTCATTTGCCTGAAGGCCACGGAGACCCGATTGCCCACCAGACGTAGCGTTAGGCATATGGATCAGGAAGCGGTCAACAGGATGATGGCGCAAGTGGCAAAAATGCAGGAAAGAATGAAGACGTTAATGGCGGAAGTGACGACACTACGAGAGGAAAACGCCGAACTACGCCAGACGCGAGGTGAAGCGCGTCAGGAGTCGCCTGTGGACGAAGGCGAGGGCAACAGTCAGGCGATGAGCAATCCATTGGATGCGCTCACACGTGACCTCGAAGAGGAGGATAGGCAGCGAGCGGCAGCAGCTCCAGTTGCGGTGACAACGATCAAGATCAAGCCCGTCAATCCACCCCTGTTTAATCCTACGGACAAAACGGTTACGGTAAAAGGGTGGTTGTTCGGGGTCGAAGTCTTTTTTACTGCAGCCGGAGTTAATGACGACGCCACGCGTATTAATTACGCAGTTTCGCTTCTTCGAGGTGCAGCGCTTGAGTGGTGGCGCCAAACCTTGGAAACAGGGACGCCGACAGGTGTGACACATGCGGCAGACGGGACCTCTACAGTGACTAATCAAGTGGCAACGTCGATCTTCGGAGTGACCACGATACGCACGTGGAAGGAGTGGGGCGCAGCCTTACGAGGTCGCTTCGAGCACGTATCCGCCTCGGAGCAAGCTCGCATGAAGCTGCGTGCATGGTCGCAGATGGCTTCTGTCCAAGACTACACGGCGTCATTTATGAGCCTCGCCGACCAAGTCGATGACATGTCGGAAGCTGAACGGCTGGATAAATACATCAGCGGCCTCAAATACGAGATAGAGTACGAGGTTCGCAGGGGCCGTCCGACGTCATTTCTTGCAGCAGTACAGTTGGCGGAGTCCACAGATGCGCTGATGCAGTACGCGAGAGCAGCTTCCCGGGAGGGAAACCGTTTTCGTGGCCAGACCCATCGGACCACGATCAACGCCGTCCATACACCCGATCGCCCTCCTAAGGGACCGTGTTTCCGGTGTGGGAAGACGGGTCACTACATGAAAGATTGCCACGAGAAAACGCCACTGACGGGGAACGACAGGAAGGAGCAGGGAAATGGGAAGAGTCAGTAATTAGCGGGCCCTTTACTGACTGTGCTCCGTCGCCCGAACCCCACCATCCCCACCGAGTCGTGGTTCCGATTCATGCAATCGATCGCACTCGGCCGAATAACGGGGATAATCACGTGGATCACCCTGTGCTGGTCGCTGGTAAGGTGTTAAAAAATAACCTGAAAATGTTCCTCGATGGAGGGGTCAATCATAGCCTCTTCAATTTGGCGAGCGCAAAAAAATGCAAGCTGCAACTTGACAGGTGTCTGCCCGAAGTCGACGCTCGCCTCGTGGACGGGACGCCTCTGGCGATAACGGAAGAAACACGGACGGTCAGGATCGAATGCGGCGACGATTTCGACTTCAGCATGAATTTCCTCGCGACAACTTTGGATGGCTGCGACGTACGGCTGGGACACGATTGGCTGCGACGGCACAACCCCGTCATCGACTGGACAACGGGGACGTGCAGCATCAACAAGCTCGAGGGGCTAATTAAGCTCCCTACATGGATCCCTGACTACATCCAAGCCCCGTGCGTCAAAGCCATCACTATAGCTTGCCACTTCAACAGAGGCGCGCAGCTGTTCGCCGTTTGTTTACGCGAGTTGGCAGTCGACACCGAAGGAAAAGACATCGAGAAGCTGTGTGCAGCTGTTGTCAAACATTATATGTCTTCTGCTTGTGTAGGCTACAGTGGGTTAGCCTATAGGGGGTACACAATTCTAGGGTTTCCTACTTGTACTCATTTCACTGCTAGTTCATTCATTCCTGTTCGCTGGTTCTGACATGGTATAGAGCGGGTCCTTCTACGGACCGTTTTTTTTTGGGCCCACCGAAGCGCCCCCCGAGGCGCGATTTTTTTTTTTTAGCGACCCCTCGGGTCGTCATTTTCCCTGCGGCCCCGCCGCTTTCACTGACGCGGCCCCGCCGCCCTCTCTGACGGGGCCCCGCCGCCGGCCCTTACGCGGCCCCGTCGCCGGCTCTCACGCGGCCCCGCAGCAGGCTCTGTCGCGGCCCCGCCCCGGCCTTTACGCGGCCCCGCCGCCTGCTCTCACGCGGCCCCGCCCCGGCTCCTTCGCGGCCCCGCCGCCTGCTCTCGCGCGGCCCCGCCCCGGCTTCTACGCGGCCCCGCCCCGGCTTTCACGCGGCCCCGCCGACGACTTTGTCGCGGCCCCGCCCAGGCCCTTACGCGGCCCCGCCACCTGCTCTCACGCGGCCCCGCCCCGGCTCCTTCGCGGCCCCGCCGCCTGCTCTCGCGCGGCCCCGCCCCGGCTTCTACGCGGCCCCGCCCCGGCTTTCACGCGGCCCCGCCGACGACTTTGTCGCGGCCCCGCCCAGGCCCTTACGCGGCCCCGCCACCTGCTCTCACGCGGCCCCGCCCCGGCTCCTTCGCGGCCCCGCCGCCTGCTCTCGCGCGGCCCCGCCCCGGCTTCCACGCGGCCCCGCCCCGGCTTTCACGCGGCCCCGTCGACGGCTCTGTCGCGGCCCCGCCCAGGCCCTTACGCGGCCCCGCCGCCTGCCCCCGTCGCGGCCCGGTCGCCTCCTGACGGCTCCTGCCGTCACCTTCTACCGGCCCCGCAACTGCACCTGCTGGCCCCGCCGCTGCACCTACCGGCCCCCACCACCCAACCCCTCTTTTCCCGTCGCCTGTCGAGGCGACCTGAGGGGGCCGCTTGCGGGTGGCAGGTGCGTGGCCTCCCCTGCTTCTCCTCCTCCTTCATCGCTCACCTGCAGCCGCCGAGCCGCCCTGCACCCGAGCCGCCCAGCAGCCGAGCCGCCCTGCCGCCGAGCCGCCGAGTCGCTGAGCTGCTGAGCTGCTGTTGCTGCCGAGCCGCCCTGCCGCCGAGCCGCCGAGTCACCGAGCTGCTGAGCTGCAGTTGCTGCCGAGCCGCCTTGCCACCGAGCCGCCCGAGTCGCCCGAGCCGCCGAGCCGCCGAGCTGCCGAGCCACTGAGTCGCCGAGCCTACTCTTCCCACCACTGGTGAGCTCTTGCCCTGCTAGCACGCTGCGCTTCGCCTGCTTGCCTGCCTGCCTGCCTTTTGGCTTGCCTGGCTGCCTGCCTTCCTGCTGCTAGTCCTGCTCCTGCTTCTACTTGCGGAGCCAGATGCAGCCCCAGCGACGCCTGCGTGAGTCCCTCACGCCCCAGCAGCTGCGTGAGTGGTACGCTGGTTGGGGCTGTAGGGGTGGCGACGCTACTCCTACTTCCACTCCTGCTGCTTCTACTCGTGGTGGCGGCCAGATGCAGCTCCCGCGACCCTCTCGCGTGTCTCTCACGCCTCGCCAGCTTCGTGAGTGGTACGCTCAGAGTGGAGGGTCTCTCAGTGCTGTTCGCTGCTCTTACGTGATTCGCACTGGTACTCGGACTGGTCAGCCTTGTGGGACACGTAGTCATACACCGTCCCGCTGCTTCGCCCGTCTGAGCGACGCCTGGCGTACCGTGTTTGGCGACGA